ATTATTGAACTGGAAACAGAAGTTGGTCTGGGACCTGGCCACCCCGAAATCGTACTAGAGAGAGAAAAACTCAAGAACTTGTTGGACACTCAGCTGCATTGCTAAACGTCTTGGTGTTTCAAGAAGAACAATCTACAGGAAGATGCAAGAATTTGACTTGTCTGTGAGAGGAACATACAGCACAATGAATGACCAAGAGCTGGACAACATCATATCGGCAATCAAAAATCAGATGCCAAATGCTGGCTATCGAATGGTTCAAGGACATTTGGTTTCTATGGGTCTCCGTGTTCAGTGGTGGAGAATGATGGCCTCCATGCACCGAGTTGATGCTGTAGGGATCTTCACACGGATCACAGCTACTCGGTGCGAGTCCCTGGTCCACATAGACACAAATCACAAGCTAATAAGGTAAAATACCCACTTATATAGCTCTAACACAACATGCACGTTATACTTTACATCTGCTTTAATCAAACTTATCTGATAGAATACAGTGTATTTATAATACACTGTATTTACAGTGTATACAGTGTATTTATAATATTTTAAAAAGCACTTGATAGAGTAATATTAAGTAAAAGGATTACAGATGTGTAACAAAACCAGTAATGAGCAATTATTTACACTTTGTATATCGATATTTTCCATGACAACAAGCTGCACAATCAACACAAAATACGGTAAGTGCTCCAGAAAAAATCATGACAAGAGAACTAAAATATTTAGTCTCATTGAACTTATAAACATATAAAAATGTTGGTATTATTTTCAGCACACCTGACAAGTGTCCAGTTTAAATCAGTGGCAAGTGTGCGTATGAAAAATGTATTTTCAAAGTCTTACATGTTCTGCAAATCAAGCCTTAGATTGTTTTCCCTCTGAAACAGGTACAATGTTGTGATCTTTGGTGGAGTGGATGGCTACTCAAGGAAGGTAAAATTTCAACTGTTATGTAGAATATTTGGTAGTTTTGAAATGAGAGCTTTATTAGGTTATAGGTTACATAGTGGACGATTTGCATTTTTT